CATCTCGCAGATATTCACAGCTTCCTTAGTATTTAACCATATATCACATGCCATTGCTGGGGCATCAGGGCATGATGATTAGACGGCATTGACAAATCATTGGCAACATGGCTCACCCTGCACAGCCCCAGAAGCTCCTCCCACTGGATCCAGGGAAAACCTCCATAGTCGGACCAAGCTCAGGCGACCGCTGTGCTGAAAAGATGAGCCCTGCATCATGGTCAGCAAACAGAGGCCTTACTCCTGCAAATGCCTTACCCCCAAAGGAGCAGCTCTGGTGTATAAAGGTCAGCATATGCAGGATCGGGGCTGTAGGCTCTTACACCCACCCACACACACACACAGCTGCACAGATGGAGACGTGCTGCTGCACTACTCTCAAGAAGGCAACTTTGTTTGTCCAGCTGCAGGCCATGCCTAGCACAAAGCACTGGTCTCCTTCCAGCCATCAGCGTAGTCTCTCTCCAGTGCCTTACAGGCACACCATGGAATTTACTAATCTGAAATCAAAACTCGGATAAACCATTCGCCCTTCCCCGTAGTTCCCATCCGCTTCCCCGACTGCAGCAAGAGATGACAAAAAACAATTAGGAAAAGTGGCCACGCTGTAAATCCCAGCACCTGGGCCACATCACTGAAAACTGACCCAGGCTGGAATGCCGCCCACCCTCATGACGCACCTTCTCTCTGCCCAGCCATCCGGGCAATGACAGTCTCCTCTTTAAGGGTCCCCTTTATTTCCAGTGACTTGTGACCTCCTCTGTGCCATCAGCTGGGGAAGGCAAGGAAGCAGAACCAGCAGGCAGTTTATTCACCTGTAGTCAGGGCTCAAGTTGAGGGAAGGTGGGTGTAAGTGAAAAAGTGAGCAGAAGAAAAGGGAAGAGAAGCCACCCTCCCGTTAAAACTGTTACCATCCTGGCCCTGTGAAAAGCAGCTGCAGCGGGAAATCCTTTGGGGAAAGGACTGTGGTGAATGGGGCAGGCTGGAAAGACCCACTCTGTCCTGCAGCCTTGGTGCATACACCTAATCCCCATTGATGGTAACAGCATACACATTGCACAGGACTGCAGAACCAAGTGCCGACTTGGGGTCATTGTTCCC